TAAAGAGCTGCTGTTGATGTTTTATAACTGTAATCGGATATTTTTGCTTGTTGCAATTGGCGGCGCCTTTGCCTTGTGCAACAGACGCCTACGCAGCGACCTTTACGCGTGAATGCGTGTGTGTGCGTGTGTGTGTGTGTGTGTGAGTGAGTGGGTGGGATTTGTGTAACTATGGCTGTGTGTGTGTGACGCCCCTCTGTTGCATGCCCTATGTTATCTCTCAGCATGTGTATGTGCGTGTATGCACAAGTCTATGTGTGTGTAAGTGTGTGTGTGTGTGTGTGTGCATAGCCCGTTTGTAAACAAACAGCATACAAGGCCAGGGCAAGTGGACATGCCAAACAGACGCCGCCCATGGTTGCTCCGCACTGGACAAACAGGACGACCAGCGGCGATTGCAACTGAGCTCGCTTAAACGCATGCCGTTCGTTGTTGCGTTATGGACGGACAGGACCCAGCCAAGAGTACAGAATGAGGGTATTTTGCCAATCCGATGTTTACTCTCTCTCTTTCGCTCTTTGTCTCTATGTCCCTCTCTCTCTGTCTGGCTGTGTTTGGCTGCCACTTTCTCTTTCTCTCTCTGTGCGCTCGCAGCACAAAACCAATAAGTCAAAAGACCAAAAAGGCTTAACGGACTATAAAAAGCAAAAGGCAACACGAAAGAAACTCAGCACAAAATTACAACGATTGCAAAACGAGTAAGAAGAAAAAAATGTATATCAGAGAGCGTAGAAGAAATAACCAGATTGGCGAAAAAAAAAAACGAGTTATGCAGAGGCAAAGCTTGTATACTCTATAAAAATATATATGGAATTTMACAGGAGGCGAGAGATGATGATGATGATAATGTTGATAATGATGATGAAGATGATGATGATTATTATCATCATATTCATTATGATATATTCATATTCAGTATGATATATACAATTATGAATCCATATTTAACTTCATCCATAAAAATCTAAGGATTTACGTATACTTAATATTTTTAAAAATTATTATAAAGTATATTCTTTATTAACTAAAAGGCTATTTAACCCGTAGATATACATATATAAATACTTTAACTATATTTCAAGTCAGTTTTTATAAATGACTAAACTTGATTGAACTCAAGCCACAAGCTAGAATTCTATTTAAAGATAGTCTCAGTTTGCGCCACTCCCTATATATAAATTTGATGATATTTGCAGCTATTTCAGCGTACGCTATATATACTTGACTAGCTTTATTGAAATGCCATAAAACCTGTCGAAAGGGTATCGATGGCCATAACAACAACACGTGCTGTTGTTGACTGTTTTGTGCTGTGATTGCCGTATGGAGGAGTCTAGGATCTATGAGCTGCTGTTGTTGCCCGAGCAGCTCGTCCAGCGACCCATTTGTGCCAAGTGTGTGACAATAAAATGTTTACTGATAGGCAACAACAACAACAACAGCAACAACAACTACTAGAGTAAGCCCGGCCAAGCAATTGAATGTGGCACAAACTGCTTGCCGGATGGCTGGCAATGTCTCACTGTGTTTGGTGCGTGGGCGGGTGGCTCGGTGGCTCAGTGGCACAGTGGCTCTGTGGCTGTGTGGCTGTGTGGCTCGGTGGATGGGTGCGCCTGTCGTCTATTAAAAAAGGTTACCAAAGCAAACTAAATGGCAAGCAAAAAGGAAAGCCCGGCGACTATTATAAATAATAAATGCTGACTGGTCAAGCCAGAGAGAGCCGAGAGCCTTCGAGTTGGTGGAGTGAAGTAGCCCTAACCCACTCGGCCCCCGCCTCACCATCTCGCTTATCTACATTCTCATGCTCAGTCCAGGCTCCAGTTCCAGGCCCAAGGCGCAACTTTCGGCGCCGACTGAGCAAAAACAATTTGCTGTGTTGTTTTTCTTCTCTCTTTTTTTTGCTGCTGCTGCTGCTCTTCCTCTTTTTATTTTACCGGCTAACGCGCCCTTGGCTCATAAATCTCAACCAAGAGTGAAATAAAGCTAAACGTACCGTCCAGATACGAGCTACTGGCTTCTGTTGATGCGGGGGGCTTTGGGGCCTAGGCACCTGGCAAATTGATTTGTTGGTTTATTCAGCTACCTATAACCCGCACTCTCCCGSGCCCAGGCACAGTCACGGGGCACCGGGCACCGGGCACCGGGCGACGCCTGTTTGTGTCATAAAATACGACGACAGGATGTTATATGAAGTGTCCTGGCTTGAAATGACATTACGATGAAGTGTAGTCAGGCTGCAGGCATCGCTATAAAGCAATTTACAATTGCACCCAGCTCCCGGAGTTCTTGATCGATTCAATTAGACGGCCAGCCGCCTAATGGCTTTAATTTAAATCAATCAATCAATCAATCTGCCGCTACCGCTGCCGCTGCTGCCGCTGCTGCTGCTGCCGCTGCTGTTGTGGTCCCCAAACTTATTGTTAGTTTAGTTTTAGGCCAGTATTTATCTCTCTTTTTGTTAGCGTTTGCTTCGCTCTCATTTTCGGGCGTCGGCTTATCTAGCCTTCATTTTTATTCGGCTGCTTTGGACTGGCTTAGTTTGAATTGATTGGGACGCCTTGACCCAGAGATGCTGCTCTTGCCGGTTAGTTTAAGGCCGGAGCTTACGCATTTCGGGTCCTTTGTCTTATGGCTAAGCTACTTAATTTATTTGACCCTATTCATGTGGCTCTGCTATGCAAAATTTAAAGCCGTTCCTGAATTGCCAACAAATTGCCAGCAGGCTTTTAGCTGAAAAGGTGAATCCAAACAGAGCATGACCTGCATTTACTGACATCCATTCTAAACAGAACTGAGTTAAGGCTGTGCGTGTGCGTGTGTGTGTGGGTGTGTATCTTTCCATGTTCTAGGAGTCATCATTCACTGGAATTTCTACATTCACATTTCGTAGTTTTTGGCTTGTGTTTGCTCCGAGCTTAAATTTCGGTGAGCTCTTCAGCAATTCTGCATGCATCCGGTGCACTTGTTAAGGAATTATTTCTGCTTTAAATTGCTGCTCGAATTTCAACATGTGACAGCGCATAAATCATTGTTATGCAATGTAGCAAAGGCCCTCATTTATATGTGAAAATACAAGCGCTCATAAATATATATAGATAGCACACTCTACCGTACCTTCGGTAAACAGATAATTTGAGAGAATTTCCTCTTTGGGGCTGTCTGAAATTTGCATGACTTGCTTCTGCTCTGTTTTAAAGGAAAATCTCTTCAGCACATATATTTTTAAATATATTTAGATACTGTTTCCATATATCTAAAACTAATATTGATATTAGCTCAGACAATTATTAAAGACAAAATATTAAATTAAGAGGAGCTGATGCATGAATTACTACAGTGCAGTTCGCTAATAAATTAGCCACGAATTTCGGATTAATTGGCATCCAATTGCAATGGCATCTGGCATATTGGCATTGAATGCCTTTCGAAGTGATAGATTATTGAATGCATGTCAAAGTGCTCGGCTAATTGGAAATATGCACAATAGAAAGATGATAGTCTTTTATATGTAATTCAAAGGGTTCTTCGAATCTCTACTGTTGGTTTGCTTGGTTCTGTTGAGAGGGAGATTTGTGAAACATTCGGCATTGCATGACCTGCATCTATGCAACGGTGTGGCGGCTCGTTTGCTGCCATTTGCTTGCAATCTTTCAATAATTCATGATGCAATCAATAACGTAAACTAACAACACATGCAGCTGGCCAGGTGAGGACAGGCGAGGACAGAGGAGGACAGGCGCAGGCCAGGGCAGGGCCGTGGTGGGAGCCAAGGGCTGATTGAGTTAGGAGCTGGCTGCAGTTACCATTCTTAACCGTATGCTGACTGGCATTTCGTTTACATTTAGCTACGATTCGTTTCACCTGCATATTTTGCCAATAAATTGTGCCGACTGGCTGTGCGCCTTGCTCGATTCCTGCCAGCCGGCTTTATCCTAACTGCCATCGAATGGTTTCGATATATGCGTGCTCGTTTCTCTCTGTGTGCGATATCAAAATGCCAGAGTTCAATGTGCAATTTAAATGCAACACAGTGCGATTGGCCCAGTGCAGGTGCAACGATTGCCGGAGCAAATACAGCAAAAATTGAGGCGGAGGAGGAGGAGGAGGAGGTGAAGGAGAAGAAGAAGAAAAAGCTAACAAATGCACACAATTTATATTTAAATGTGC